CAATAAAAAGAATATTGATGGAATTGTGATATTATGTTTATCCTGCCTTTAAAAGTTTATTTCTCACCTTTCTTATCTTTCTTATTTTTCTTATCCTTGTCCTCTACCTCTCCACTGCCCCCACAAATAAGGCAGGTAATGTGTATAGAAGAGAACAGTACTCTCAGCCAAGCAAAAAAGCTTAGATTTGGATTCCGCCAAGGAGGGACTTGGTCCTGTAATAAAGATCGAGACAGACATTTTTATATCAAATATAATCGCAAAAGAAAAAGCTGGATAACTTAACTAGATATAAGTGAGGAAATGATTATCTATTGCCTTAGAATTTCACTTACGTCATCCCCGACTTGCGGCATTTTTCTGTGTCGTTTTAACCAATACGTATGACCAACTTCTTAAAGTAAATACTATCTCAGTTCAACCAAACAAAATAAATGCCTTTTTCGTTGAATGTGTTGTGACGCAAATGTCCATGACAACATTGTGACACCTCACTAATAACGACGACAGCTCGTATGACGTAACGTTATTAACGATGACGTCGTATCCTTCAAAAGCAATGTTTTTGTGTTGAAATAAGATTTATAGTTCGTGTTATGTCAATAATAAGGCTGATATTGGAGAAGATACAGGGTAGATATATATCAGTTTTTCCCACCTGAGCCTACATCTTACTTACATCCCCCCTCCCCAAAGATTTTATGATTGATTCTTGTTTTTAGAACCTGAATTTTTATTTCTGCTTGTTTCCGGCTTGAAAAGTGTCCGTCTGTAGTGGAAACAGACAAAAAGCATAAAGCGAAAGCCACTACACTTGACCTTTATTTGACATATACGACAAATGCACACGTGCTAATAAACTGACGCGCTCCATGGACCGTTTGCCCACAAGTTGTAACCCAAAACTTACTTCGTGCTATTTCAATAATAAGACTGACATTGGAGAAATTACAAGGAAGATGTATAGCAGTTTTCCCACCTGAGCCTACATCTTACTTACTGTAAGAATCCACCAAGAAAAGAATTATAAAAATAGTCGTGTAGGCCTATAATGAACGATCTACGGGCTAAGAATTGTGAATAAAAAGTAGGGTTTGCTTTTTTCTCAAATTCTTCCCAATAGTTCGTTACTACTCTGTGCAGTTCATTCAGTGGATCAGGTACTGGCATGACACCCATGCAACTACCACCGCAGAAATAAAGTTGACCCGTTCATTTGGGAGAGCAGACCCTACCCTATTGTATTTTTACTGTATGCGGGTCAAACTTTCAATGACTGTCTACCAGCTGCTTGCTTCCTACTGTCTCGTATTTGATTTGTTTTTCAAGTTATCAGACACCAAAAGGTCTTTATATTACAAAATTAGCAAACATTTTATTCCCACACGAGTTGAGTTTCCACTTTGTTAATCATATTATGACCATTTTATTAATAACACGCTTATGGAGGCTGTCGGTTTCTAGTGCACCAAGTACATGTATATAAATTGAAACTGGTGAAAATAGCTTTTTTATTTTCTTTTTCTCACAAAATAAATTACGTTATTTTATCAAACTTGAAAAAATTAATTTGTGGATGGTTAATCAGTGAGCATGAATGATGTGTTCCTTCCATAATTCCTTTATAAAGTCGCAGCCATTGACGCTGTTTTGGAAGTTTATGCCGAGTTTGTCGGTTTTTCAGTGATAAGAACTATCGAGAAATAAAGTAATAAACAATATATGCCAGAGTTAATATTCTTGGTATAAATTAGTTTTAAATGATTGAAAACGGCTCGACCATGTATAATTGACTGAAGAACTATGCAATATACATGTATGTAAGCGGGCAACATACATATACACATGTGTACGGGACTCTTTTACGTACATGTAACACAGATAGGTAGACTAATCGTAAAGATTATTTTAAAAATGGTAACTATCATACATTTATATTAAAAAGATGACTAGCAGCGAATTTGAGTTTTTAATGAATTTCGTGTGTTCATTTTATGACCTTCAGCAGGTTTTAATTTTTTTCATTTTAAATTAAACTTTAAAATTAGAATTAAATTTTTTAAACTAACTATCAATGTATACGTGCCCACGATAGGTATATAACTGGTAAGTGCAAATGGCGATAAGTGTCCCAAATGTCTACTCACGTGCGGACATAAATCAAACGGTAATATGCCTGAAAGCTTGCCAAACTTCATATTTAAAAAGCAACTCTGTACTGAGCAAGACTAGAAAAAGTGTCGAAAATAGGCCCTGTAATGTTTAATGTCATCGTTCAACATTTGATCTCTCCTCTGGACTTTGCAGTAAAAGTGCCTATATACACCGCCTAAGCCGATTATGACGTGAGACGTGGTCCGGCAATCGAGTATTTTTAGATACAAAAAAAAAAGATCTTGCATCGTTAATCTAAGGACTTTCTCAATAATTTACTAATTTATAATTAGTTTACTCCTTATCAGGTTTGAATCGCTTCGTCCTCGTATTTCATTAAGAGAGAGAGAAAGAGAGAGATGAGCAGCACCCCCCCCCCCGCCCCCCTCCCCCCATCTAGGGATCCGTCCCGAGTTAACTTAATGCTTATAAATAATCATCAAGAAAGAAAATATTGTGTCATAAACGTAAACCACTCCGAAGTCTTCATCACCTTAGATCTAATTCTTTTTTACTTACATCATCCCTGACATCTTAGTTTAATTTGATACACTAACTTTGTACGCGTTTACTCATGTAAACTGCGTCCCTCAAAAAAGTCGTACGTAGAACTAAATCTAATGTTTTCTTTGGTCAAACAATTGCTGTCCTTTTCCACAATTTTGCTGTCAGGACGCAAATGCCCCTTTACGTCACTTAGTTGTGACCTCATCGCGAATGACGGAGTCTAGAGCATTTACGTTAGTCTATCAGGATTATTTTCACATTTTATCACGGTTTTATATTCAGTAGGACACACACTGTTCAGGCGTAGTGATATGTCGTCGTTTTCAGTCAATTGTTTGTTAAATAATTACCAGTTTAAGACTGAATTTGATAGTTTCTATTAAAACAAAAAATTATAATTCGTTTTTATTCATTAAAAATCTGCTTTATACCATTCTTAGTTTATTCTTAATTAAAACAAAACAAGTTTAATAAATAGATATTTTGCTTCATTCATTCTATTCATGCAACGTAACGTACAGAAACCTCAATTTATATGCCTGACTGTTGGGACCTATACTTGTTGCAAATAACTCCTCATAAAATGGTTGTAACCACTGGCATTTTAACTGTCATAGAAAACATTGGCCTACCACACATCGTGCATCTGCACGCTATTAAATCCTTTGAAGTAAGAAATATGCACCCGGGGCTGGTTGCCCCCCTTGCCATTGGGGCAATTTGGATCCTCATATAGACCACAATCCTTTGCGAGCAACAGAATTACCGGTATAGAGCATTGTTCAAACCAGGGAATTATACCGATATAATTCCCTGTTCAAACAAAGTCGATGGTTTGTTAAATTAATACCAGTTTAAGATTGAATTTGTTAGTTTCTTTCAAAACCAAAATTTATTATTCCCTATCATTCATTTAACCTGCTTTATACCAATATTAGTTTATTCTTAAATAAAACAAGTTTGATTAATAGATATTTGGGTTCTTGTAACAAGTACAACGTAACGTAGATAAATCTGCCTGCCTTATTTGAACTTTTTATTCGGCAAAGACTCTTAAAATAAATTTAATAAAATAAAGATGTGTAAATTGTATTGGCGTTTTCATGGGATACTAACTAGCTAGATATCTAATAGTGCTCTTTATATGTATCATTCCAGGTGTCCATCATCAACTAGATTAGTTCAATAAAGTTGAAGATATACATATTTATCTATGACTTTTCCCGCACAGACATTATGCGAGATCTTAGGGACAATGTTGCAAATATGGCGGAGGCAGACCTCCTAGCTGCCATAAGAAGACTAGCTGTCAAAGATGAGAGTACCCTGGTTCATCGCATACGACTGAGTAAAATGACTCAAACTCCAGGAACCAGTATTAGAACATTTTTGGCAAGCCTGAGAGGCCAAGCAGCATTGTGTCGATATACAGCCACATGTAAAGAAGAAGGCTGCACCCATATGTTTGACTACAGCGATGAAATCATAAAAGACAACCTCATCAGAGGCATCGCTGACCCAGAAATTATGTCAGATTTATTGGGTGACCCTAAAACAGACAGGACGCTAGAGGAAACTGTATCCTTTATCGCTCAGAAGGAACAGGGAAAAGTGACCAAGAGTGCAGTCGGAGACAATGCTAATGCTGCCAGCAATGTTCCNCATATTTATCTAACGTCTTTTATATTTAGTGATTGAAATGTATCTGGATAAGAAGTCCACAATATACTCATGCAGTCACATTCTGACTTGTTCTTGTGGACTTTGAATCAGTTTTGAGTCTGAATAGAAAAAATCTGGTCTGATATTCTGACATGGATATTACAGCATTCTGTCAAAGGTGGCAGTGTTGTATGCCTTTATGTTGCTGGTCTGTAGTATCAGCTGCCTGTAGTTGATGTGCTCATTATGGTGTATTTACAGTCATTTGTATACATATTGTTAACAAGGCATCTCTATACAGCTTATGGCATTGTTTGAATCTAATGCGTTTGTGAAGGTAGCACAATAGGTTATCATTTTCCTTTTTTTCCTTATTAATTATCCTCGATCAGCCTTATAAACATGTTACATTTAAGAGAACAAGTATAGCATCAGCTACATCAATGAACTGATATTGAAATACTTTTTAGAACTTTTCTTTTTGACTGGGGTTTCCACCAAAGGAAAGGGTTCTGCAGTAATGGGAAAATTTACATTTTTGCTGCTTTAAAACTGAGAATTTTATATTGTAAAATCAGCTTGAAGATACAAACAATCCATTGACTTCCATTTCTCCAACCCTTGTTAACTTTAGGAAACATAACTGAACACATGCTTCTATTTTCTTGCAGTTGGTTGGTGGTGAGCTGGACCTTGAAAATAACTTCATCATACAAGAACCTGAAAATATCAAGCACATGCTGCAACTGGTAGACACATGCAATCCTACTTTACAGGTAGATTATTAAGAGATTTGTTAGATCTTGTGATCACACTTAGAAGGATAACAACTCTTCGTATGAGATCTATATTTCAAAATGAAAACATTGTGAACAACTCAAAGAAATATGATATGTATTCTGTTTTACCACAAAACATCGGTTATAGGTATTATACTGATATCTGAGCTTGTCTTTAGACCACGTGACCTCCATTGATGGCTATACTCTGTTATAATCTCTTAGAAATTATATCAAAAAAACAAACTTAAAAAAATCAGGGACTAATTTTGGATGTAAAAATGGATTCATTAACCATTGGTAAGTATGGGAAAATTGTTGTTTACTCCAGGAAAATTAATTTTTTGGCCAAAACGAAGAGTTGTTATCCCTTTAATACAAGATAAGTAGACATATGTTGTTCAAGTAGAATTATGCATATACCATAAGATTGAGTGCTTACATTTTATCAAAGCACAAGGCTTTTCAGAGGGAATAAAAACTAAATGAATGATAAAGATATTACTTTTGGCTTATATGTGGGGAGATGGTGTGTAGTACTAGTGAATGGAAGTAATAGGTTTTACAGAATTAATTTTATATGTTTTGTGATTGTAACATATGTAGTTAAATAATTTTTGTTACATGTGTGAGAGATGGTTTTTGTAATGTATGCCATTATATGTTTCTTTTGATATTTATAATAGAAGACTGCACACAGAGTGCAGACTCCAGCAAGTTAAAATGTTCATGTGCACAGAAGGCTTTGTATTTCTAACAGTTGCAAATAATACCAACAAAATATCTTTCTCAGGCTGAGATCTGGAGCATCTTCACCGCCATCTTGCGCAAGAGCACACGTAACCTGCAGGCGTGCACAGAGGTTGGCCTGATTGAGAAGGCGCTGCAGCATTTGCAGGAATCGGATGAAGTGGTGGGAGGTGGGTATTCCATCAGATGTGATGTCAAGTGCAGCTTGTTTATAACAATACTGGTACAATAGAGAGCCATAGCTTTCTTGGCTTTGTGTGAAGTTTTCTCTGGTATCTATAACTATATGGTCTGTTGCCCAATCCATTATTTTGTGTTTTTTATTAGTTTAAAACAGTTCCTAGTTTTGAATGTTTTTCTCTAGATCTCCTCATTGACATGATGGGCGTGTTAGCAAGTTACAGCATCACCGTCAAGGAACTGAAACTGCTGTTTGGGTTCCTGAAAGCAAGCAATGGAAAATGGGTGGGTTTCTGTTTAGAAAATCTAATGAACAACTGGTGGGGCTTACTGTTAAAACAATAACAGAGTAAACTTTCATTTCTTATTGTAGGCAAAAAAAAAAAAATAATAAATAATAATAATAATAAAAAGTAAACTTAAATTGTTTGAAAAAATGCCACACAAAAGCTTTCTGTTACTTCTATTAATATGAAAGTCTAGATACAGTAATATGAAAATATGATACTGGATTTGAAGAAACCTGGTGTGTAGCTGGTTCTACTGGTGACAGTTCTGTGTAGGTTTAGACTGTTCAACAGTATTGCTGAGGATGAGGCTGTCAGTAATTAGTATAGACTCACTCCTACTGTCAGGCGAATATGTATTAAAGGACACTCCTTGGCATTCTTGTTATTGATATTTAGCAAGCTTTCACTTCATATTTCAGCCTCGGCATGCTGTCAAGCTTATTTCTGTCTTGAGACACATGCCACAAAGACATGGACCGGACGAGTTCTTCAGCTTTCCAGGGAAGACAGGAGCTGTAAGTTTCACAAAGAGCTATCTTAACAACAGCGATATGACTATTTGATGTAAAATTCCCTTAGTATAAAATCCTAAGTACAAGTAAAGTTATTGCTCAGCCTTTCTCCTTTCTTATTTTCTGCAATAGTCTGCTTCTCCAGAAATTTAACACCCCATTTCCATAGATTTTTAGATCGATCTATCCCTGTGGGGAGTCTCACTAGATTACTGTCAGCTTGGCCGGCTTAAGCGTCTGTCCCGCCTACTAAAAGCTGTAAAGGGGTAATTAACTATGGTGCCCGCTCGGCTGACTGCAATTTAGCGTGAACCCCCAGGGAGCTAGGTCGATCTAAAACTTAATCTTTAGATCGATCTAAATCTCTGGGAAAGCACCCTAAAAGTGTAATACTGTATTTTTGTTTTTCAAATTTAGTGTATAGCACTGCCCCCTATTGCCAAATGGCCATACCAGAATGGCTGGACCTTCTCTACTTGGATCAGGCTGGACCCAGTGTCAGGAGGGAACATAGAAAGAGAGAAACCATATCTGTACACGTAAGTCTATGGGAATTTACATTGTCTGATAAGTTAGGAATGCAACCAGTGTTGTTAATGGTTGAAATGTTTTTGATTTCAAAAGATCCATGGGCTTGTTGATGTTGATATCCCACTGAGCACACTAGTGTAAGAACTGGTGCTGAGAGCAGCGTGGGACAAAGATGATCCCTGCGGCTACTGGAAGCGGGATAGAAATTTAAAATCAACCTTCTCTGCAACTTCCTCTATATGAAGAAGGTATGCCATGTTAATCTATAATTCATGTTAATCTAAAATTCAGACAAGCTTATTAATAGGTAAAGATATGACAAGCTCTGTATCAGCTGAGTGATATTTCAGTTTCCGTACAGCCAAGGGCCTGGGCTACTCAGCACACTTCATAGGAAGTGCTCTGGTTATCACCGCCATGAAGATAGCAGGAAAGGGATTCCAGCACTGTGTCAATTTTGAATTTCAACCCAAAAAGGTAAGAATTATTTGTTTTACATGAAATATCAAGGATAATTATTTATAAAAAAAAATTACGTTATATGTTTATTTTCACATGCTTGGAGTGTACCTTCAATTGTTCTTATGTTGGAACTGGCATTTATCTTGGTGTTTATTTATACTTCCTTAACAATTAAGCTGTATATGTACATGTGTATGTACAGACTACGTGCTTCCAGTGGTACATATGTGTATTATATTACAGACTACGTGCTGGTAGGTATTGTTTCCAGTGGTATATTTATATTGGTATATATTATATATGGTGAATTGTATATTTATATGTATATATATCACAGACTACATGCTCTCTGGTATTATTCCCAGTGGTACATGTATATTTATATTTATATACATTCATACTTCATGTTCTCTGGTATTATTCCCAGTGGTACATGGTCACTCTGGTCCATGTGTACAGGCTATGGGGGAAGAGTGAAGTCCAAGTGTATGTTGATGGTCAGATGGTGTCCACCACAGAGATGTCCTGGTTGGTCAGTGGGAATGAGGTAAGATGGACAGCTGCACTATTGATAGACAGAACTACCATCTTGATTAAATGCACTTATTTTGATTCACTTGTGCTCAGGTCGTGCTGTTAAACTGGATTCCTAGTGAGACAAAATTAAGTGTGCTGTTTTATTAATTTCCACATCTGAGAAAATGTGTGTGAAGATACCTATTGAAATGGAGTGTTTTCCAAAGATGTAGTTACTGAATACGAAACGATGCGACAAGAACTGTTTAATTGGTATTCATAGGAAGAAGCTATAGAATAATCTATGACATTCACACAGCTTGTTGTGTTTTATTTCCAGCCATTCAACAAGTGTTTTATAGGCACCACACATGAGCAGAAAGAAGAGAGCATGTTCTGTGGTCAGATGTCCACTATCTACATGTTCAGTGAAGCTCTCCAGCCTCAGTACATAGATGCTATATATCACCTTGGACCAGCATATAAAGTAATGTTACTCTGAAGATTTGTTTTATTTTTATCAAATTGTTTTTATCTTTAGGTACATTACTCTGAAGATTTGTTTTATTTTTATCAAATTGTTTTTATCTTTAGGTACATTTAAAATAAAAATGACACATCAGTGCTAGCTGTTGTTGACTTTGACATATGTTTTCTTTGGATTGCTGCCTATGTGGCATTGAGTTGAAAGTAAGACGTACATCTAACAGTCTTGAGACATAATCATAGTGGTAAAAAATTGCTCCGAGCAGAACAAAAAACCTGTGGAGTGTATCTTCTTACACTGATTGTCACCTCTTTTCAGAGCCAGTTCCGGTTTACCAATGAATGTGACACTCAGGGACATGAGGTAAGGCACAATTGCTATAACACTAGTCGCCACTTCTACACCATCATTTCATACACAATAACACTGTATTGATATTGATGAAAATATTACCACCAGTACTTAAAGGTTAAGAAGACTATGAGAAGACAATAATTTTAGAAGTGAACTTATTCAGCAGTTAATGGTATGGATAATTTCCATGGATTATTTGTTTTCATAGCATCTTCATGGTTTTTATTTGATTATTGTTAATTCTTTTTTTATTGGAAAAACATTCCATAACTCCTAGTATATACATGGGTTAAAGTTTTCAGGATTATCCCTGATTTAAGGTTTTTCAGTCTTCATTTTGATAATATTTTTCAAATTATATAAATGCAATTGAGAAATTGCAAGCAACGTTTTGAGGATTTTAAGTTTTTAAAACTTTCACCTATGTATGTATAATAACTACTTATTTTACCACTACAGTTGTCATGCAGTGAAAATCCAATAATTGTCAGAGCATGTAATGTTTAGGTTGTCATTGAAGGGTTAGCTTGGCTGTAACTTAGTCAACATCTGACTCTGATTTCAGATCTTATTTGATGACAAGTTTCACTCCAGTATTGTGATGATGTACAACCCTATAGCCTGTGATGGACAGCTCTGTCTGGAGTCCTCGCCTAAAGGAAACCCTTCCATATTTGTCCACACGCCACACGCTCTCATGTTAGAGGTACACATTCCTTGGGATATTTTTTATCATAATATAATACCTTGTAACATCATTGTTGGCTGTTGCCTTTTAAAGACAGTCTAAAAACCAGTTACAATAATATTTAAATTGTCCAACTTGAATATTATAGTAATACAAGAAAAATCAGATCTGGAATGCATTTTACCTGAATTTAATAAAATCACTTATAATAATATGATTAAACTATAGAACTGATGACAGTAGAACACTTAGTATAATTGATAGAATCCAAACATAATGTTCCATTTGTTTGTTAGTTTTTTTTTGTCTGTTAGGAACATTATGCAAATAGTTTTGGACGGATTTTGATGGAATTTAAAGAGTGTACCAAAGAATAAATAATTCGATTTTGGTGGTGATCAATATCCATCCACCCTATTTATATTGGTAAAACACAGCATTGCACAGGCCCCATTTGTATATTTTTTCTTTATCCATCCTGTGACACAGGTGCCATTACCCTTTGCCCCTCTGACTTTACATGAATGTTTTAAACTAAGTCAAGACTGGTCCAAAATTTATGATTTATATATTTATTTATTCATTAATAAATATTCTATCCCATTATACCACTTTTGCCCACTGTAATCAGACGACTGCCACAATCAGTAACAGTGTGACCCATAATTTTTTCTCCAAGTATATTTTCTAGCCAGAATTATTCACTTTTATCTGATGGGAATGTTTGCCAGCACAAGACTAAGATACACAGCTTTAAACTATTAAATTCCCGTACAGCAGCTTGTTGGAGTTTGTATGTGTATTTAAATGTACTTAGAGTAACCTATATATTTCTAGGGAGTAAAAGCAGTAGTGACCCACTCCATCCACAGCACTCTCCACTCCCTAGGGGGGATACAGGTAAGATATATAGTAGAATACAACATCACACATGATACAGGTAAGTTATATAGTAGAATACAACATCACACATGATACAGGTAAGATATATAGTAGAATACAACATCACACATGATACAGGTAATATATATAGTAGAATACAACATCACACATGATACAGGTAAGATATATAGTAGAATACAACATCACACATGATACAGGTAAGATATATAGTAGAATACAACATCACACATGATACAGGTAATATATATAGTAGAATACAACATCACACATGATACAGGTAAGATATATAGTAGAATACAACATCACACATGATACAGGTAAGATATATAGTAGAATACAACATCACACATGATACAGGTAAGATATATAGTAGAATACAACATCACACATGATACAGGTAAGATATATAGTAGAATACAACATCACACATGATACAGGTAAGATATATAGTAGAATACAACATCACACATGATACAGGTAAGATATATAGTAGAATACAACATCACACATGATACAGGTAAGATATATAGTAGAATACAACATCACACATGATACAGGTAAGATATATAGTAGAATACAACATCACACATGATACAGGTAAGATATATAGTAGAATACAACATCACACATGATACAGGTAAGATATATAGTAGAATACAACATCACACATGATACAGGTAAGATATATAGTAGAATACAACATCACACATGATACAGGTAAGATATATAGTAGAATACAACATCACACATGATACAGGTAAGATATATAGTAGAATACAACATCACACATGATACAGGTAAGATATATAGTAGAATACAACATCACACATGATACAGGTAAGATATATAGTAGAATACAACATCACACATGATACAGGTAAGATATAGTAGAATACAACATCACACATGATACAGGTAATATATATAGTAGAATACAACATCACACATGATACAGGTAAAATATAGTAGAATACAACATCACACATGATACAGGTAATATATAGTAGAATACAACATCACACATGGTACAGTTAAGATATAGTAGAATACAACATCACACATGATACATTTTATACTCTTCATCCATCATTAAGGTATCATCAGCAAGTCACATATGGTAATACAAATTTTACATTTGAAAAGCCAAAGTAAAATTACATGTGAGTTTTCTTCCAGACCCTGTTCCCTCTGTTTGGTCAGTTAGACTGCGTACAGGAGAGTGCCAGTGAGGAGGAGAAAGTAGATCACACAGTTTGGTAAGCTGGAAGTACTACAGACATGGAGATATTTTATTTGCTTCGATGTTTATTTTCATTATTGTCAATTTTTTACATAGATAACTTAGCTTGAAATGGATAATTACAGGTACTTTAAAGGGTAATTCAGTCGTTGTAAAAATGATGCCAATGTTTTGATCATTAACTAAACAGCAGTGATATTTATTAGACTACTAAATGTGGATTAGAAAATTAAGCTTTTTATCATTGAATATTACTGTCAGTTAACATTGTTGCTTAATGTTAATTACTTTTTAAAACTGTCTTTTGGGATAGATTGTTGATGTGATTGTGGGTCTTCTTCTTCAGCTCCACACTTTTGGCCCTCCTTTGTGACTTACTGGAGAGCTCCGTGACTATCCAGCAGCAAATGTTACAAAACAGAGGTTTCCTGGTGATAAGTTACTTGCTGGAGAAGGTAGGTGGCAGGGGAATCTCTAGGTTGCAAAAAAAAAAAACATTCAGAAACTTGTTCTTTACACTACCCATTCTCTTCACTAATGTAGCATTTGGTGAAAGTGGATTTCTAACCCTTTACCTGTGTAATGTTGCTATTGCTATTGGAGTATGTTGGTAATAAGGTACATGGTCAGGGTTTGATATTCAAAATGTATCTGATTTGAATACGGTTGGAAACCTGAAAATTAAGTGCTTTGCTCATATATTTAAATATGCTGGTTCCATTAGATCACCACCTACATGTACATGTATTTCTGCGCATTTCATTCCATTTAATTTTGCAAATCAGTGATGGCACAAAAATTCTGAGGCAGAGGACATGTATGTTATAACCTGTAGCTCTTCCCAGGCCACGTCTAGCATATCTGATATCTTTAGGCACATGGTAGCTGTGACTGTCTACTACTTCTTCTCTAGCTAGAGTCAGGAGACATGTATATATGCCATTAGAATTCACTGATTCAGTAGCCTGTGATTTAGATATAGATTCCTTATTTGAAAATTAGACCAGTGTAGGGAATTAGAATATATATTGACCAGTAAGATTGGCTTTTTGTCAACATTTAGTATATTGAATACAAACAAGTTAAATTTTCCATGACTATAATATTATTAGCATATATGATACAATGGCAGTGTAACAAATGTGTTTATAATTCCCAATGTTTTCACCAGGCAATAGTGAGGTCCTCTGAAACCTGTGATGCAGTAAGTATGCAGTTATAACTGCAGTTTGGTTGGACACTGTGCACCGTGCTATTTGCATGCGGTTGCAGTGATGACTGCTCCACCTTAGAACTAACCAGCTTTCAAACAGTTAATCTTTTTCCAGCATATTGCAATAACCTTGACACAATATTACACTTGGTAGTTTTTTTTCACGAGAATGCTGTAACATTGACAGAGGTTTGTGAGACAAACCTGATATCTTTGGAATGGCATCTCAAACCAAGTGATTACCGATGCAATCTGCCTTCTACAACTAACACTTGGCTTGGTGGTTATATTCTAGACTTCACATTTCATTTCATGATTTGATTTGTTGCCTTCAGAACAGCACAGACATAGAGCAGCTGTAGCCTATATTAATCCAGACAATTCTTACTAACTGAGCCTTGGACTACACTTTGAGCAAATATGACTTTATTTCAGCTGTGACAGAGTGCCTGATTTGTTAAATATCAATTAGCATGGTCTCCCCCAATTTCTGATGATATACAGGGCCTATGTTTGCTGGCAAAAAACATGGTTAATGCCTTCATTACACTCATATTAACTAGTGTTGAATGAAAAACTGGTTCTCTAACATTTTAAACAATTTTTTGTCCAAAATATTTATTATTTATCCATAGCATATACCAGTATTAAGGGTGCAGTGTATATGCAGCCATATTTGGAATTTGCTGTAAAGTTTTTTTTTATTTAGTAAAACTGGATCTTGTAATGACTTTTGTTGTATTTAGTGGCTTTAATAAGATATAATAAGTAGAGTGGAAAAAAACAACAAAGTAATTAAATTCAGAAAAATTTTTGCAGGTGCATTTGAGTGTAGTGTCACTAATTTAAAGTGATCTAACAACATTCCATGTGTCATCTCAAAGAAGAATTAATTCAGAAATAATTTTGCATTCTAGGCATCACGTGAGCACCTGAGTGAAGATGTCCTGAACTCTTTCCTGAAGTTGACCAAATACTTGGTGGGACTGCCCAATGGTGGACCACTGTTGAAGCAGTTATTTGACCATGTGTTATTTAACCCTGCTCTCTGGATACACAGCCCTGTGGCAGTAAGTGAACCTTCAAGTTCACCATTGCACTGATGTCTGAGCTCACTTTAAGAGGGCATTTTTTCAGGCAAATAACCAAACAGTTTTAGGCAAATAGTATATTTGAATTAAGATGAAATTACAAGTGTTTCACTTAGTTTATTCTCACTTCAAGGTGCAGACCAAGCTGTGGACATACATGTCTACAGAGTTTATTGCTGATGCCCAAATCTACACCAACATCAGGCGCGTCAGCGCTGTGCTGCAGACCATGCATTCTCTCAAATATTACTACTGGGTGACCAATCCTAAAGACAGGAGCGGCATCACACCCAAAGGAACAGGTACTATCTGGTCTCACAAATGCCTCACATATATAGAGTGGAGGCTTTGGTTGAAAAATAGGGTATTATGATAAACCAGAAATAACTCATTTTAAGCATTATAGTGCTCTTGAAAACTGTTTTGTCTGACCCCTATGACATCATTGTTCTATCTGAATCTAATGTGACCATGGGTATTCAGACACACATATATACACACATTGGCCATCTGGTTGACAAAATAAGAATTTACGGAAAATAATTAAAAACATGCATGTGCACATACATGTTAATTGTTGCATTTTGAAGAACGACACCTTCTTTGATGTGCCTAACCCAGCTTGTGGTACATATGATACCAAGGGAGTAGCAGTGCTTCTTTGATCTTCTAGTTGAATTAAACATATTAGGTACATATAACCTGTCTTTAAAAACAGAATGTATTTATAATATATTGCCCCTTAATTTTTGAATTGATTAAATGTACATTTGCTACCATGGTTGACAGATGGGCCTCGTCCTGCCAAAGAAGAGATCATTAAGCTGAGAAGCTTGATGCTGTCCTATCTGAAGCAGCTGATCATGAGGGGGCCAGGGATATACGAGGACGAACTTCAGAGTTTGCTGAACTTCCTGACAACAGTGCATGAGGCAAGTCCTTAATTGTATGAATTATTATACAAGTTATATGCACATTGCAGAGAGGTTGAAAACCTTGTTGGTATGATTAATTAGCATAGGCAGAAACAGTGATCTTTTGCTGCTCATAGTAAGCTCATCTTGGTCAGACGGCCTGTTGAAGAAAATATACCATTTCTGGGATTATATTCTGAATAATTATAATGAATAAATTGAACACAGCAGTCAGTATGTATTTACTTAATGCAGAATTTGTGAATAGTGCATGTTTGATACATAAAGAATTTTTACAGGATGAAAATCTGTCCGATGTGTTGAGTCTTGTTGTGACGCTGATGGCAGAGCACCCCTCCTCCATGGTGCCTGGCTTTGACAGGAAGAATGGAATCAGGTAGGATGACTGCATTTTATGTTGAATGTGTTTGATGGAAGCAGTACATTTTATATTTAGGTTATTGTTTCTAGACAAGACATATCCTAGAAAATCTTTCATGTTTACTATTTAAAAGAGATCTCCTTGCATTTGATTATCCTCCACAATAATATTTGTGCCCTGGAAAGCTTCTAATATTTCCCCAATTCAGACCTTAAAGACTATAAAATCCATTAAGTAAAAGTTTATATGAAGCCTCCCTAGCATCGTTATCTTGTTAGCCTTCTCGGGTAGCCATTGACAGCACACAATGTCTGTAATGTCTGTATCACACACAGCACATGCCTGCAATACAAAGCACTGCACCATTTTCTGTGAAAATGAAGAAATGCATGTAAAGGCAGATGTCATTCTAAATGATTAGCCAGTCATTTAGATCTAAATTGTTAAAATTAAAAATGGAATAAGATGTCAAATCCAAGTGCAGGGACAGGTTGTGAAATGAAATACAAGTAGGAGAAAGTAATTGCCCTTTTTCCCCAGGCAAATTCATTTTGGTGGGTCAATTCCATGGAGAGGACCTTTTACTGCTGTAGCTCTGGGTATATCACAATAGTTATAAGTTCAAAACATTGGCTGTGTTCTCTTCTCTGGGATGATCACAGTTATTTAACATACGATAACTATGAAACTCATCACTATGAAACTAATTTCAAGTAGTCCTCTTCTTTTAAGGTGATATTGTAGCTGTTATTTTTTGACACACGGGCCTGGTTTCCTGCCTTCAGTGTTGTATATGTTGTTCATTCCAGGACGGTGTTTAAGCTGCTGGCATCTCCCAGTGAAATGATCCGGATTCATACACTCAAATTCTTAGGATTCTTCCTCATGAGAAGTACACACAAGTAAGCAGTTAAATACAGATTCTGAAGTAAAATACTTCTATAAAAAAAAACCATTTCAATTTTTTCATAAAGACATACCCTCATTTTTAAAGAAAAAGACAAAAAGGGCTTATTTTTAAATTTGGACAGGCATTGTAGAAAAACTATGATAGCTAAAGCTATCAAATTTTGCATATTTGTGCAAGAGCATATAGGAGATTTATGTACCAAATTTTTATTGAAACTTTTGTGTAGATTTTGAATGCTGCAAGTTTGGTGCAAACCATAACGCTAAACCAGAAGCTGCTAGTTGATTTTCCAATGAGAAACACTTTTTAGCTAATGCAAATATTGAGACAAAAACTATGCTCATTATAGAAGATTTAGTAATCAAAATTTTAAACTCATAATAATACAGGTGAAATTGTGAATTTCTGACTTTGCATTGTAGACATCGTAAACAAATGTGTTAATGCCTTAGTTGATATGTTGTATCAGACATTTTATTTTGCACGACAATGCAGGGCGTTTGCATTAATTGTGCTGGGAACAGCTAAAAACATGTACTTCCGGTTTTTGTCAATTTCTTGAAAGTGTTTTCTTGAAGGGTGTATCTATAAGTTATTTTCTATAAGATATATTTCCACTCAAGAATATGATAAAATTGTTCCCGTAATTGACTTTTTCTTGTTTTCTTGCTACATGAATTGTCTCTTTGTTTGGAAAAAAGTCAGTTTTTTAAATTATTGTTGATTAACTTAAGCAAGTAGAAAATTTTTCTTTAGGTTACAGAATAATAATTCAGTCAAAATGCAATAAATGAATGCAATAAACTGAATTTTCAAATAGTTCTGACCTCTGTTTCAGGCGCAAACATGACTCCATGGGTCCACACAACTTGTTCTCATTGCTCTCTGAAAGGTTGTGTCTCCATAGTAACGAGCTCACCATGAACACATATAATGTGCTTTTTGAGGTAAGAGAAAATACATGGACCTTAATTCACTAGGGGGGGCTGGTTTTGTCTCATGTTAGATGTGAATGAGATGTTTTAATTCATTTTCAAAAAATGGGCATAGAAACCAAAGTTGGTTGTAAGAATTAATCAATAAATATTTAAAAAAAATTTTTGACCAAGAAATAATTTTGCAAATATATTTCCTTTCTTTATAATGAGGGTAAAATGATGTTAAAAGTTAAAACCAGCTTTTTGTACTTAAGAGTAACTGTAAAGTTCAATGTGGGAAAGAGAAAGTGAAATGAATTGTGACACATGAGCCTTTTGTTTAGGGTGGGTACAAAATTATAGCTCGGTATATCTGTTAAGGTACCTAAATTATTTCTTGCCTTGATTACTTGTCCTTGAAATTATTTCTTTCTGGAATTCTTTAACTCCAGGTGTTGACAGAGAGGATGTCCAAAACTGTGATTGTAGGCAAACACCCAGAACCAGATAACAATTTTAGGATAGAAAATTCATGTAAGATATTAATCATTTTCATTGAAACAAAGATAAAAGAAAAAGAGAAATTGCCTTTGTTCAGAGAGTGAAAAATAAAAAAATGTTTTTATTGTTTTTATGGTGGTTTTCACAGAAGTTCTGTTTGATTCCTCAGTTATTTACAATAAGAAATGTAAAAAAGTTTTATAAAAACAGTACCGTGATTGTAATCACACTTGGATCAAGTATCACACCACATGCAAAGTATACAAAGTCATATTTTTCTTTGTTTCAGTGATTTTAAAGGTAGTGGCCACACTAATAAGACAGTCCAGGCAGACAGAAAGTTTGATGGAGGTCAAGAAAGTTTTCCTCTCTGATCTCATGATTCTCTGTAATAACAACAAAGACAACAGAAGGTACTATAACCACGTGTGACAAGAAATATTTGAAAAGAAAAATGAAGAATTTGGATGATAATGAACATATTTGCAGACAGCATAAAATTGGTGCTTCAATTCCTGTTCTTCTGTTCAAATAATTTCATTAGCTATCTCAACAAAATTAACAGTACGTAAATATGCAGTTTATGGTTGTCAATTAAAGAAGCTCTTCTACAATATCTGTTTCCCCTGGAGAGCATGTTAAGTGTGTAATCTGTACTGACTGTTGTAGAACCATCCTGCAGATGTCTGTGTGGCAGGACTGGCTGTTCTCCATGGCCTACACATACCCCAGGAACCAGGAGGAGAGGAAGATCACAGGCATGGTGATGGCTCTCTTCAAGATGCTGCTTCACCATGCCATTAAGATAGAGTATGGGGGGTGGAGGGTCTGGATTGATACCCTGGCCATTCTACATTCTAAGGTGAGTCATGTCTAGTATTATTACAAGTTAGGTATGCCAGGTTCGTTGTGATCAGTTTTCCTAAGTACATGTCACATCCTGGCTTCCTGTATCCTCACTGAAAAGTGGTGCACTGGGTCCTGCTCTTGTGACAGCCCCTTGTGAAAAAATATGTTCCTCTTTCAGATATCTTATGAAGACTTCCGTATCCACATGAGCAAGGTGTATCGTCAGTATGAGCAGCAGCGTGTGGACCACATCTCGGACCCCCAGGCCAGGCAGACCCACCCTGTCAGTACCATATCTGGCATCTCAGATGAACACACATACACCAAGCCAGCTCCCAAGAGCACTGTCACTGTCACAGAAATCAAAGAAAATGGTGATACTGGTGCAGACAGCACAGGATCAACAGAAACAGAACAAAGAGTACAAGATACATCAACAATTGAGGGGAAAGAACAAATACAAAGTGGAGATAAAGAACAAGAAGACAGTCCTTCCAAAGTTAGTGAGAATGCATCATCACCCGTGAAGAGTGTTTCTGAAATGGATGGTGCTGAATTGGAAAAAGGTGTGAGAGAATTTTTGAATGAAGTGATCCAAAATGCTGTGAAGAAAGTTGAGGAAGAAGGTAAAGATGGCCAGGAAGGCGGAAACGTTGCTCAGGAGAAGACTGAGGTTTCTGTGGAGAGTGAGAAAGACACACTTGCTGGAGTACATGGCAACAAAGCTGAAAGCCAGGAGCATACTGAACATGAAAGCAGCTCACAGCAGTCACAACCAAAGGATCAGACAGGAGACAGTGCCAAACAACGCCCTGCTGGCACCAGGGGGCAGCACCACTTCAGCCCAGGACCAAGAGCGCCACCTTTTAGGATCCCAGACTTCAACTGGTCCACCTTGCACCAGCTGCTGCTGTCAGACCTGCTGTTTGCAGTGGAACAAGATGTCCAGGTCTGGAAGACGTAAGTTATAGCACACAGCCAGTGGCATTGCCTCTTACAATTTACACCTACATGTTTTGAAAACAAACTAAAGAAATAGATTAAGCTTCACCAGAAAAGTAAAGAATGCTAGAAGTTGAATTTTTGTTCATATTTTATCATTACAATAATACAGCACAAAACCATAAGAGATAAGCTATTTTTATGTTTATGATTATTATAATCTGTTATCACTGCACATGAAAAATCAAACGTTGTCATTAAATTCTAAAACTTACATAACTCTGGGAGAATTACTGTTCCATTTGAAACAGAGCAGGTTAAAGCTCACAAATGAAAATGCAATAAAAATATGCAGGTCTTCAGAAGAATCATGTTGGAAAACTTATAAATGTCTGACTAATTTAACTCATTTCAGCAGCTTGCCAGTGATTGAAGCAATAAATTGGTGTACAGTACCAAATTGGATGCCCTACTCAACCTTAAACCATCATCTTCTCTTTCAGTCACAGCAGCAAGACAGTGTTAGATTTTGTGAATGCCTCAGATAATCACATATTTGTGGTGAACACCATCCATATGATCTCCCAGCTCGCTGATGGCCTGATCACAGCCTGCGGGGGATTACTACCACTGCTAGCAGCTGCCACATCGCCATCAGTAAGTAGCATATAGGCACAGTGGTCAGGTTACACACCATTGTTTTTACCTCACCATAACTTGGTTTGATTATAGAGTGGTTTTAGCAAACTGTATGCATTAGCCAGAAACTCATTATTTACTGCCTTACATACATTCTTTTGGATAACAGATAAATCTTCAGTGTTCAGTGACTAAATTTTACATTTACAAGCAAGTCATCTTACAGGTGACGTCATAATTCCAGTTTGTCAACAAGTCGGCTTTTGTTGGCCAAACTGTTGACAAGATCTTTAAAACCATAGTATTTTCAAAATCATTTTAATAATGAGATTAAAGGTAAAATGTCATTTGACATTGTGCTACAAAGCCGTATTTGCTGCAATCTACTCCTCAGTAAACAACAAAAATTTAATTTTTTAAAGCACTGCATCATGCAGTTGAGGCACTTAAAAAGTTTCTCTTTTACTTCATTGTCAGTACATTTCTCTTTCATATTCACTTCTTATATTCTTAAGTACCTTGTATATCATTAGATTTTCTAACATAAGTATCACCAGTATTTAACTGTGCATATCCACCATCAGGGGGAGATGGAGATCCTAGAAGCCAGCCATGGTCTGACCTTGGAGCAAGCTATTTCCTTCCTGCATCGCCTTGTTCACCTGGCAGACATCATGTTGTTTGCCAGCACTGCTAGTCTCCCAGAACTGGAACAAGAGAAGAACATGGCCAGTGGAGGGATACTTAGGCAATGTCTGAGAATGGGTGAGGTCCAAAAGGACAGATTATGATATGATTATTGTCACCTTGTTTAAATATTGCCAATTCAAGGATGTTTGCATATGAAATAAATTAGGACTTTGTTATAAGAATTCATTCAGTGCAATAAATTTCTGTTGTATATTTAACAGTTTGTACAGCTGCAGTAAGGAATTGTCTAGAGTGTCGCCACCGTGAATTCACCCGTGGCAGGACTAGAACAAGGTCAAGGTCAGGGTCAGTGACCTCCTCCCCCACTGGACTGGGGCCCAATGGTATCCAGGTGGCCAACCCCATCATACAGTCTCTTATCAATGGAATCCGACCATCCACTGAAGTAAGCCACTTTACAGAAAGTTTTGCTTTCAGAAGTTTAGTTATTTATGTATTTTCTCTAACAGAAAGAAAGAGATATTTTTAAATATATAAAAATAACTTTTGGCTTTCCTCTTTCTTGTTTGTTTTTGTTGAGAACATTTGTTTCATTACATTGGCATTCAACGAGGTCATCTTGTGGCATTGCTTCTTAGCTTAATAAGCTAATTATCATAAAAACTTCTGTTCATTTGGAAAGAGTTGACTAACAAACAGTTAGGCAAATAATCTAAGATTGAATGTTATTATGAATACAACATTTCTATTGACTGATGAACTCTTATTTCAGAACATAGTTGAACACCTGGGCAGCCAGGAGAACCCAGTGAAGGACCCAGAAAAACTTCTCCAGGAGATGGACATCAACAGACTCCGTGCTGTGGTTTACAGAGACATTGTAAGCATTGTTCACATTTCTGATGCTCTATACTTTCACATTGACAAAATTTGCACAGGCATTCACAGCAAACCATGTCCAGATAGACAGCTCATGAACAGTGTTTTTCTGTGTTTCCAAAGTGACAGTTTTCACCTCCAATCTTTCTCTTCTAGTGGTAACAAGGTTCATCCTTCTTTTTTCTGCACAGATGTTACCTTTGCCTTGATTGCAATAACTTCACTTGTTTTACACATATTGAGTAGGCAGTATTTGTAATGTTGGATTTTGTTAATGTTCTCTTTCATTTTATTGCTGCATTTATTTGTATTATAATATTTTTTTATCATATTCTCCATCTTAATTGATTATTAGGAGGAAACCAAGCAAGCCCAGTTCTTGTCTCTAGCCATCGTGTACTTTGTCTCTGTTCTGATGGTTTCTAAGTACCGCGACATTCTGGAGCCGCCCAGCATTCCGTCCACACCGTCCACGGTGGGCGTCAGGATAGGCCGCTCTGCCTCACAGATAGAGGAGGAAGAAGGTAGGTTCTGAGAGACCACAGCTAGATGAAGGCTGAGGAACACATGGCTGAAGAAAGCATGTATGACTTGGCCAAAAAATAAAAAACACGGTTGCAGGGTATACCTCTAAACTGTAGGTCTCAGATCAACTGCTGTTTTACTGATAAAAGAAATGAGTGAATCTTTTTCATAATGCCTATGAATTCTGTTGATAAGCTATAACTTTTCTGGAATTGTTCTTTAAAGAAAAATATATTTGCATGTACGAACTCAGAGTGCTCAGGGTTATGGAAGCAGTTGGACATTTTAAAGTAGATTGATCAACCACTAGGATGAACCAATTATTTTTGAGGTTAAGTCTTAGTGAAGTTGGCCTGTGTGGATGTGTCTCAAATGGAAGATGTTGTTTATATAACCACAACATCCTTCCTACATGTCCTACTCTGTTTACTCTGTTTTCCTCTCTTGCAAATGTGGTGCTGTGCTTTATGTGTTAGTGATTTTGGATTTGAAAAAAAAGTGCATGCAACTGTTACTTTGATGGAGTTTGCAGATTATAATAAGTTTATGATGAAGTATTTTAACTTTTAGAGTACTGTTGATATTGAGCCTTGTTTGGAAGTTGTTTAAATCTATGAAGTTTGATTGTAGTGTAGTGTACATGGATGAGAAAAATGCACTTTTCAAACCCATTGTTTTTATCTGTGCAAAGTAAAATAGATGTTTTTAATAGTGAAAGTGTTTCTTCACTTTGTATCAGAAATGTTGATTTTATTGAGTAAAACAGCTCATCTTAAAAGGTTTTAATTATTTAGTATCAAACTATTACTTACTTATATTGTGTGTAACATTTAAAACAGGATATTTGGATGAAATGTGTGGTAATGCAACGAATTATAAACTAAATAATAAGCTTTGAAAAGTTGATCTCAGTCTACATTTAGTTTGTTGGATCATCAGTACCATCCAGTGGTTTTCAAATGACTGGGCTTTGCCTTGTGTTTGTAGTGGTAGTGTACACAGGTGCTTACAGCGGTGGTGTGCTAGCGCACATGTGTGCTAGTGACACCAGTGGTGATGGTGACACCAGGGAAGACACCTGGAGGGTTACGGACAGCAGATATGATCACAGTGGTGAGGATAATTCAGATAGGGGTTCAGTCATGTAAGGTAGTTCATGGCTGCTTTCACAAGGTCTTTGTCTGTAGTGAACACTGGCTGTGGACTTCAGCATGGCAATCTTGCACCCAATGCATGGCAGACTTGTAAAGAAGAAAAACCAGTAGAAGCAGGTCTATGATGTCTGGCAAACTGAGCGCATGTGCCTGATAGATGGTGAATAAAGTTTGCACTCTGTGCATGCAACTGACACAGAATATGTTAACAGCCTGGCAGTAAGATTACATAACTGATGTTGCCAGAGAATGTAGCTCTTTAAAATTTGTATTCTCTCTTTATTTTTAGCAATGGGGCTTATGCTTTCTTTAAACTTGTGGTAGATCAGTGTTGTAGCTAAGTATTTATGTGCATGTCTATAGATTTTTACACACTGTGATAATCTACATGGCACAGACAAATGCAGCTTAAGAAAGAAAAAAAGGATGGATAACAGGAATTTTTACATGACTGATATTGTCAGATTTGGTTTAAAAGCTTTCATTTTAATAAAAATGAAAAATGCTGCAATGTTCAAATACACTGAAAATAATGAGGTATGGGTTGGTATTTGAGTGCAACCCTTACAGATGACCATTAGAAGGGGGCAGAGTTTTGTGGTAAATCATAGTACATAGTACACAGTCTGTATAGTTGTATTCATATATGTAGATTTTGTGATTATAAGATAAAGTTATAGATTTTTAAAAGATATTTAGAATTCAAATTGCTATACAAAACAACTATTTTAGAATTTCACATTAAAGTGGATATTATTATTTCAGAATCTGTATCACCTAGAAGGATTGTGACCAGACCAGATGCAGACGTAGCTGTCACGAGGCCACCTGAGGACCATGCTGTGAGCAGGGCAAATGGTGAGGTGGCTGCCAGCAAGCCTGGGGAGGAGAAGACCCTGTCCTCAGGAGAACCACCTGCTCCACAGCCCACACCAGATGACACAGGGACAGAGACAGCCTCAGAAGGAGATGCTGACAAAGTTAACGAGTCTGAGAAGGAAGAAGAGCAAGGAGAAACCGAACCTGCAGATGAGAAATTGGACTCTCACTCTGAGGAAAAGAGTGAGGAGGCTAAAGTGGACGAGGAAGGTGATAAAGCTAATGTCTTAAGAGATATTGTTGCTCAAGCAATGGAGGAAGGAGAGACTGAGAAAGAGGACACAGAAAAAGGTAAGTCATTGGGCTGGCCATGATTAGGAATTGTCTTTTTCACTGATTACTATAGTGGGGGTTGTATGAGAATGGCCACTGTTTAGCCATGGGGGATGGGGGGGGGGGGATAAAGTCCAAGATGACATTATAATGAGGATATGAAATGAAAAGCTGTTAGAATAAGCTTTCTATTGATATGCAACATGTTGGCATATCTTGATTGATTAAGAAGATAGCCACTTACTTGGCACCCTCCCCCTTCATCCTTAAGATCAATTTAAGGTGTCTAAGAGTGCAAATATTATGGATGTACACAGATATCAGTGACAGTTCTTGTATCTAGATTGTTTTATATTTATTTGACAAGAAATGCTCATTTTTCTTTATTTTAATAAAGAAAAATGAAATTAAAATTTCAATAGAAGTAAGGTGAACTGTTATAACTTATTTTATTATGCAAATTGCACAAAAACATATTAGGATTATTCATGATTACTTCTTAATTCACCACTCTTATACTGCTCACTTTGTAGAAGAAGCTGTGGAGAATGGAGAACCTGAGACATCTGATCAGACTACAGATGACAGTGGTGGGACAGAAAAAACCCAGGAACCTGTTGGATTGGAAGAAGTTAGTTTGGAGGAGGAGGGAAGAAATGACAGGCCAGAACAGGGTATAAAACAGAATAGAATATTGTGTGAATGCCTTTGAGGTTAAACTACAACCTCTAAATTTTTTTTCTCAAGTATAAAATATTTTTAAGACGTTGGACTGAAAATACAAATATAATGCAAATTCAGAGTATGTTTTTGATGAATAGTTTCTCCATAAATGCTCAACAGTATTTGTAATATTATAATATTTTAAATTTGCTAGTAGACTATTATTTGGTGAGAAGAAAATTGAGTTCAAACATCGGTTAGAACTACATGTACTTTCTGTGAATTGTCTTTATATTTGCAACTTTTGCTGTTTTGTTGAATATTACATTCTTGTTTCCATCTAAATGTGACTACCATATTGCCCCTTCAGATGGCAGCCAGGAGGAAGTAGAAGAGTTCCCACATCCTGAACATCAGGAGACAGCTCAGCAACAGCAGCAGATACCACCACATACTGCACCAGATGCTGGAGACAGTGTGAAGCCGGAGGAGTTTAAGCGTATGGATGCAGACCCTCATGCAGAGAATGCCATTGCTTCAATTCAGTTTGCAGGCAGTGCAGAAGGTGGGGGAGGAGATGGGAAAGAGGAACGTAAGAGGCCAGAGAGTTTTGACTTCAGCAAACATATGCCAGGTAAAGTGGGCTAATGACAGATGTCTAGATTGTCTAGATTGCTTTTTGTGCTACATTATTTTTTAACTTTGGGGCAGCTTGTGTTGCTAGTGTCACTTTTTTCTGTACAGTATGGTAAACCTGCACATTAACCACTTCTGTTTGTGGGGACCTTGCAATATAAAAGTGCAATTTATTGGGAATTTGATAACAACATGTACAGTTTTTGACAATTTTATATCATTTCTCAGATATTATGTCATGTAAAATTGGTTTCTGTCATACTTATCGATAACGAAATTGTTCTCAGGTACTGTCGAAAATCTGCCAGCACCAGAGGATGAGGGGACCTTAACAGAGAGACTGGAGAGAGCACTAGGCACCAGTGCCCCACTTCTCAGGGAGATCTTTGTGGACTTTGCTCCTTACTTGTCCAAGACGTTGATGGGGTCCCATGGACAGGAGCTGCTGGTGGGAGGTTAGTGTACACTTCAGTCCCACATAAAAACTTAGGCTAATAATATTGTATGTAGAACTTTCATCTGTTACTGTCAGTGGGGTAACTGGTCACTGTGCCATTAGAAACATACTTACTAACCCTATTGATGCCAAATATTTGTATTGTTAAGTGCAAAACTCTCTCTCTCTCTCTCTCTCTCTCTCTCTCTCTCTCTCTCTCTCTCTCTCTCTC